CCACCCTCCGCCCACCCTGCCAAATCATATCAGGTCACGTGACTCGATGGTGCTCTGATATTTCGGTATTAGCCACAGCCATACTGGTTGATCGCACCTGCGCACCTCCAGACGACCTCGTCTTTCCCTACTCTATCCTCCATACTCTATCATCATCAATAGCAATGGACCCGATTCTGGCCAAACCGGTTGGCGCCTGCTGCTTCAAAGGCTCCATCCATACGGGAGAGCCTAAAGGCAAAGTCGAGCAGATCGCCGGAGTCGACACTTATATTGCCACGCCAGACGCGAACAGATCCAACGGGCATGTGCTGTTATTCTTCCCCGATGCCTTCGGCCTGCATATCAACAACTTCCTCACAATGGATTCGTTTGCGGCCGCTGGGTATCTGACCTTGGGTGTGGATTATTTTGCCGGGGTACGTACGCAATGCCCCGCACATTACACCGTCTACGTGCAGTGATATGGGTACTGATCCTTGGGATTCCTTGGATTCTCGCTCTGCAATAGGATCCCGTCTGGAGGACTACTGCAAATCCCCTGACCGATCCGACGTTTGACTTTGATGGCTGGAAGAATAAGCATATGAAGTCTTCCGATGACATTGCGGCCAGGTGGGTCAAGGAGGTCGACGCAATTTATAACAAGGACGGGAATGTGAAGTTTGTATGCGCCGGCCACTGGTAAGTCTTTTCGTTGCCTACCTCGTCACGACACTCGAGAAGCGGCGACTGACCTGCCATGGAATGATCTCGTAGCTGGGGGGCGCGATTCGTTTGTACCCAGCTTTCCAAGGCCGGAATCTGCAAGGCCGGGGCCATCGCCCATCCCTCCTTCATCAATGAAAGCCACGTTTCGCAGATCGACGGTAGGAGGCGCACCCCCCACGCTAATACTGTCCTGCATTACTGAGACACGGACCCTTCTAGCGCCAATTCTGCTTTCCGTCGCGAACATAGACGGTCTTTTCCCGGCCGAGCAGCGCAGCAGAGCCATCGAGATTCTGACGAATGAGGAGAAGAAGTTCAACATCCAGATCTTCTCGGGCGTCGGGCATGGATTTGCAGTCAGTTCTATCTCAAGAAAGTCCCGGTTGACTTGGAGGCATACTAAGAGCAACATTCTAGTCGCGGGCGTTTTTGGAGGATCCGTACGAGAGATGGGCCAAGGAGCAGAGTTTCAGGAGCTTCTTGGACTGGTTCGAGATGTGGCTTTCATGATTGTAAGAAAGGCGTGGAATTCTGATGTAAGGAAATCTGTGTCATGCAGGAGCTCACGTTGTTATCTACGCCCCGCAAATATATATGGTCTCTTCCTTTTGTCAGAGTGTCGTGAAAACTACTTCCGGGGTACGCTCGGGCACAATCACTGTTCATCATTTCAGGAGATTTGGTGATACGTAATTGGTATATCTACTTGGTGTGCTGATCTATTTTCGAACAACAAAAACTGCCAAGAGTGCGAATAGAACAATCAATAATAAGCATCGCTTAGTGAACTAAGAAGCCGGGGTGTGATAGAATCTGATAAATATTTAATCGGAAGAGGATTACTACTGTAGTTGACCCTATTAATTTCGATAGTATGTTAAGGAAGTGCAGAGATTTGAATCCTTTGATTTTGCCGTAATAACGTTTAATCATTGAGAGTTAGCATCACCACCTTCAGCATTATTAACAGCTCTACACTTTGCCTTTATGCTTTTTGTTGATTTCTTCATAGATTCCGGAGTGAAGTATCCTAAGCAGCCTTAGTTCGAGAGATCACCACTTTTGACGAGTCAAGAACTTATGAGTAAGCATCTTGATTAACTAAGGTGCTTGGGGTTTGTTCATATAGACAAAAAAACAAGAGGTAGACTGAGGTATACAAGGCATCATTTAGAAAACTAAGTAGTATGATTATATACTTGTAGAAAGTTTACAGCTACATGAACTCTACGTGGGGCTTGGTTAAGACGACGGTATAGAGGGGAGGTTTACTGCTTATAAAGGATTTAAATCCCTGCACCTCTAATGTACCAACCAAGTCAACGGGATCAACCACAGTAAGTTGCAAGGTCTTAGTCTCGAAACAGGACTAATTCAAGGCCTCTAGTCTATCATAACCTCTCAATCTTCTCTCCCCGTGATGAGGGGCTAGATTTCGCCGCGAGTACCTTCAACAGCATCTGGTCCCTGGTCGCATTGATATTTTGCCAATCTACAGTCTCAAGCCATTTCCGCGCCTCCTGATTCAGTTTCTCCACAGCTTCAAAGCTCCAAGCAAACCGGTGCTTGGAAATGTTCTCCTCCCAAGCCTGGATCGACGGCCCGAGCCGTTCAATCCGCTGCGCAAATCCGCCAGACCCTCCCCCTCCGCCTAGAGCATTCGTCACGATCGGTCCTGTCAAAGCCCACCGAAGGCCTGGGCCCGAGGTCACTGCCGTATCAAGGTCCTCGGCGGAGATCACTCCGCGGCTGATCAAGCTGTATGCTTCGTTGTTAATGGCGGCTTGCAGGCGGTTCGCGACAAACCCCGGGATCTCTTGATGGAGCAGAACGGGTCGTTTGCCGAGCGAGCGGTAGAAACCCATCGCAGTGGCGATTGCGCTGGAGTCGGTCGCGGGGTGAGGAACGACTTCTACCAAGGGCACCAGGTGTGCTGGGTTGAATGGATGTCCGACCAGGATGCGACCTGGATCTTGCTGACACCGCTCGATGAACCCGGACGCCGGAAGGCCAGAGGAGGATGAGGCGATGACGACACCTGGTCTGGTATGCTGATCGAGTGTCTTCATGAGCTCGACTTTGAAGTCTGCGCGCTCTGGTCCATTCTAGGGGAATGAAGACTTTAGTTATGCTGGAAACTTCACGATACGGGCATGTCTAAAGAAATACCTCTTGGACAAAATCCACATCCCGTAGGCTTGTCGCCAGATCCTTTACGAATGTGTACTTTGTCACAGGCAAGTCGCCAATTGGCATGGACGCCTGTAGGGACGGCCACGCATCCTGTAGGTAGTGTTTGAACGAGTTCTCTGCGCCTTCTGCTGGGTCGTATATGGTGACGTCCAGCCCTCGGGCGAGAAATAGGGAGGCCCAGCCAGCCCCGATGACACCGCAGCCAATCACCGCGACTTTTTGGATTTGTTCCGACATGTTGTATGCAGAAGATGGAAACTGGACGAGAAGGCGATGACGAGAGCGAGAACGCCGGGGTTAAACAATACATCAACTTGCGTGGAGTCCGGGGAGATTTGCCGGCCTTTCCGATTGGGCCAGCACCAGGTATACAACCTACGGCATCATGGATGCATGAACCAAACCCTCAAATACCCCAGGAAAAAAAAAACAGATTGTGGCTTCTCTTTCAACAGCAACTAGTTCCAATAATTATCCAAGCGAACAAAATGGCTACAACACCCCAAGAGATCTACGGCCCCGGCACGCATGTGGACGCCAGCTTCACTCCAGTACCGGAAGAATGCAAGCGATTGCTGCGAGTCTTTGCGGCCAAAACGCCCGGTTTCACGCAGGCCAGTGAGATGCTTGACGGGGTGAAATTCGAAGGCGACGCCTTGCCCTGCATTCCAGGACCGATCAAGGCCCAGGCTGTGACCGCCGTGCTGCACGCAATGGTCGGCATCGTTGGTCTTGAAATCCTCCAGCTCCGCGGCGATGACCCCGGCTCTACAGTGTGTGTCAATACCAATCATGCTGGGTTGTACCCAGCCACACCAGCACTGGTCAATATTGACGGCCACACGGGGCCCGACGTGATCCAACTTCCAACTGTGCCCCAGTGGGATAAAGACCGTCAATCCGGTTCGGCGCTTGTCTTTCGCGCCACGGCCATTTATCCGACCGCGGACAAAGACACCTGGTTTCAGCTTCATGGCTCACTCGACCCTTGGATTGTCCTACGGACAATCGGCATTGAGAGAGATGCTGAGGCTACCGTTCGCTCGACTGACGACGCCTACGCACTCATTGGGAGTCGTGTCCGTACATACCGTGCACAGGAGATAGAGCAGCTCATGCTGGAGCGAGGCTTGTCTGGATCCATCGTCCACTCCCCCGCGGGCTGGCGTGCCACCGAGATGGGTAGATCTCTTGCTCGTCATCCGCTGGTCAACTACAAACGACAAGGGCATGGTCCGTCTCTCCCGCCTACGCCGAGCATCAAGACGGAAGACCGCCGACCGCTGGCGGGCATCAAAGTCGTGGAGTTGGCACGTATCATCGCCGCAACAGCCGCTGGGGCCGCTCTTGCATCGATGGGAGCAGAGGTCATCCGCGTCAACACGTCCAAACTCAAGGACTACACGCCCGCGCAGCCTTCTTCCTTAATGGCCGGGAAGACGACAATCGACCTCGACCTTGATGACCCCGCCGACCACGCGCGCCTGACGGCATTGTTTGAGCAAGCCGACGTCGTGATCCAGGGCTATCGTCTAGGTTCTCTGGAGCGGCGTGGGTTCGGCTTCGAGGATGCGTTGCGCATGGCTGAAAAGCGTGGCAGAGGCATTGTGTACGTCGATGAGAACTGCTACGGCCCTGATGGATACTACGCGGAGCGCCCGGGGTGGCAGCAAGTGGCCGATGCGGCCGCAGGAAGTTCGTACGTGATGGCGCAGGCATTCGGGTGTCCCCCGGGCCAAGGGGTGCTTCCCAGCCTGCCGATCTCGGACATGTCGACGGGCATCCTGACGGCGCTGACCATCATGTGTGGCCTCCGGGACCGTGCGCGACACGGTGGCTCATACCGTGGTCACAGCGCCCTGGCGGCTTATAACATGGCGACGCTCGACCCGGATGTCCGACTGTACCAGCCCGAGGTTGTGCAAAGGATCCAGCAGACGTATCGGTTCCCCTCCTGGTCCAGCGACGCGCACGTCGCTCCGCTCTATTACGAGATAATCAAGGCCTGGGATGAGAACAGTGACTTGATTCGCAACGACGACTACTACGTCCGTTTTTCGGACTCGGTTTTCGGGAATGATCTGCGGGTGCTGGGCCCCGTGGCGAGGTATGCGGACGCGGAAACCACTCCCAGATGGACGACTCCCCCGGTCCCCTTTTGCCACCACGAATTCAGAACCTTTCATATGGTTCATGTTCCTGCGGGGTAGTGGGGGCGGGGTGAGGAGGCAGGTCAAGGGGCAACCTCCGGGGATAGCTCGGATGAAGGGAAATCATAGTAGAGTCCCTAACTACCCGTCTCCCCGCGGTGTAGGGATACATTTTGTGTCAATCATTATCTCCGATGTATCCGATGTATAGTAGTGGTGAAGCCTCCGTAGATACGCCGGATCGCAATTCTCCGACATAAAGCCATTTAGCTTGGGAATGCCGTTTACCAAACTCCATCCAGCCTCCAATTTTGTTTCTTAACAACCTTGCTGCTATCCACCATGACAATGAAATTCTCCAAATTCAACCCCCAACAGTTGGAACAATATCTCGAGCGCATCAACTACGCCGGCCATGCATCTGGCACGGGCACGGGAGAGCCCCGTCTCGAGAGTCTGAAGACTGCCGTCGAGCGAGACCCCCTTACAGCGCTAACTGAGCTGCAACGGCGGCATCTCGGAGCCATACCGTGGGGCAATTCGGCCCTCCATTACTCAACTCACCATTCAATCTCTGTGCATCCTACCGCTGTCTTCGAAAAATTGGTGCTCCGTGCTCATGATGGCTACTGCATGGAGAATACCAACCTCCTCTACGTGGTGCTTCGTTCCCTGGGCTATCGAGTGTATCCCACAGGAGGCCGGGTGAGTCGTGCGGTCGGGTCTGGAAACCAGTCCGATGAAGGGTACATCTCCTTGTAGGTCACGCCCTCGGATTCTTTGGTTTCTTTCGATCATGCGGAACGATGATGGTTAAACTGCCGTATAGCAATCACATGGTTCTGGTCGTGACTATAGCCAGTCACAAATATATGGTAACCCTTCCGAAGATGGAGCTCACTGGACGGTCGCAGTCGACTCTAACTCGCACATACAACTCAATATAGGTCGATGTTGGGTTCGGCCGAAACAGTCCCACCAGCCCATTGCCATTGCAGGAGAATATCTTGGCGCCATTGCTGGCGCCCAGCGAGATGTCCTTGATCAAAACAAGCCTGACCGAGTTCGTGGACGAAACGCAGAAGCTCTGGGTCTACAGGACCAGAAGCAAGCCTCAAAAGGGCTGGATCCCCCAGTATTGCTTCTCAGAGGTGGAATTCCTGCCAGAGGACTTTGCGATGATGAACTACTTTACCAGTCAAAGTCGGACGCTCTGGTTTACACATCAACTGGCGTGTACCCGTGTTCTGATGGACGAAGACAAGGGGATCAAGCCCGTTGGGATCTATATTCTGTCCGGAACTGAAGTCAAGAGAGTGTCTGGGGGAGAGACCACGGTAGTGGCCACAATAGCTGAGGAGACCGATCGAGTCGAGGCGTTGGCAAGATATTTCGGTATGCATTTTCGACCACATGAGATTGAGGGCATTCGCGGACTACCCTCCCAGATAAGAACTAGCTAGTACTCTGGCGATGAGTTTATAATGTACTTGATGATGTCCATTTCACATTTCTCAGTGCAGGGTACGTGGAGACGAATTGTGCATCTACATCCGCTATAGAATGCGCTCCTCCATGCTGTAGTTGACCCTGTTAATTTTGCTCGTGCAGTAGAGGTATAGGGATCAAATTCTTGGCATGATAATTCCACTACCCGATGTCACCTTGATAGTGAATTTAGATATAAACTTCAACAGTATAAACAAATTTGTCGCAGAAGATTACTCTAATTCGCAAAGGAATTGACAAATCTAAGGTGCTTGAGCTGAGATACTGATCTGATATTTCTAATATATTTGCAATGGTAATTATTGGATAGAATATAAATTGTATTGCTGAGAAGATAATTTTTAAACCGTTCAAAATACTAAAATCAAACGATGAAAGTAGAGATTGCTGAGGTCAACTAATAGACCTAATGTTTAAAATGTAAATAAATCATGAAGAAATTCCCAAAACTGATGCCAGCAATAGAGTAGGAACGGTTATATAAAGCGTAATCAAAAGACCTGAATCTCTGTATTTCTGTGCTGTACTGACAGAATCAACAGGGTCTACCACAGTATATGCCTACACCGCCAGCCAAGCATCACTTGTCTACTTTGCAGATCCTCTCAATAACAGTTGCCGCACCCAAGACCTTTTCCTCATTGAATCTCTTCCCGATAATCTGCAAGCTGACGGGATGACCATCCATAGTATCTGGATCGTAGAGGTCCCAGTTCCAGGTGTCCAGGGCATTACGCGGCGAATAACCACTCTCTCGTCGCCTGTCAATATCTTTTCTAACAATATCGACAGGAATCACAAGAGCCGGATAATCCAGCAAGTTCCAGATCCTGGTATAGCCGGCGTACTTTAGGGCCCGATGCCGGATGGCCGTATGTGGTACCGTCGGCCCCAGAAGCACGTCCACCTGTTTACCCCGGGGCGAACGGACAGCATTCCACTTGGCCAGGTACGCCTGCTGCATTGAGGTCTTTGTTCGATTCATCTGCCAATAGTCGTACACGGATTTCGTTTCCGCGCGGTCTATGAGCGCTTGCACATGCGGGATCATCGGTTCGCCCGCCGCGCTGATGTCACGACGGAGGTCCTCACCCCCATCCGCCGTGTAGTATTGGCCCATGAGCTGGACACAGCTATGATGGTCTGATGTGTCCCATAGAATGACCTCGTGTCCGTCTTGCGTGAGCTTGGCGGCAATCTCTCGGAGGGCGCGTTCGACCGGAGGGTGGATTCGGACGACTCCATCGTCCAGAATTAGTCCGACTACTAGCGGGCGGGTCTGGATGTCCTCGAAGACCTTCTCGTCCCATGGCAGAGGAGCGCATTTTGCGTCGTATTCCCAAGGTGCGGAGTTTGCAATAAGCCGACTCACGTAGCACAGTGACTCCAGGTCGCGAGCCAGGGGGCCGACCGAAGAGGGGGCATTCTCCTGCCCTTCGGTGGATCCAGGCACTCCCGCAGCGGGATACCGATTGCTCTGCAAATGTGTCAGCGATGTAGAAACGAGCGAAGAAGAACAAGAAGAAGAAGGAGAAGAAGGAGAAGAAGAAGAAACAAGAGACCGACACTTGGCTTGAGAGCATACAGGCCGTTCAGAGCCCCTGGGATACGAATACTCCCGCCGATGTCAGTTCCCAGGCCAAAGATGGAGCCATGAAGAGCCAACAAAGCAGCCTCGCCACCTGTAGACCCTCCCGGCGTGAGCTCTGGATCACGGGGATTGTCCGTTCGCCCCCAAAGAGGGTTTTCGGTTTCGGCCCACTACAACGGAGGTTATTTCCAAGAGTTCTGCTGAGTTCTTGGAGGTGTGAATGATACACACCAGAATGCTCTGGGGGAGGTTTGTCTTGAGCAAAACAACTGCGCCCAGTTCCTTCAAGATGCGGACGATGAGAGCATCTTCTTCGGCCGGACGAAACGAGCGACCGATGTACCCTAATGTGCTGTCGGTGCCTTGGACGTTGAATTGATCCTTGACGGTCACTGGGACCCCGTGGAGCGGGCCCTTGAGCTTGCCGGATTCTTTGAATGAACTATCCAGCTGTCGGGCCTGGCGCAAAGCGTCTTCAAAGACTGCTTCCGTGATGGCATTAGTCTGATAGGAGAGATCATGTTAAAAGACATAGACCCTTCGAGTACTTAGATAAAGGCATGTGGCATACCAACTGATGTGCTATCACAGCCCTATACCGACGTTGTCAGCTATGCAGAGCGATGCTCCTGGCCTTCGCAGGTCATGCCGCACGCACCTTCGAATATAGGCACGAGTCACCTGTTCAGCTGTATAGTCTCCAGATCTCAGCCGCTCCACAAGCTTGGGGACATTATCGATATCTGTGATCTCCTGGGCGACGGGGTCATCTCTGACGCAAGAGCGGTCCTGAACGTTATGCACTCGAGGCAGGCGTTGATCCATATCCGAAACTAGATATGGCTCCAAAGCCTTATCTCGAAGAGATCGTTTCTCTTCAACTATCTGCATCCATTTTGCATCGCTCCCCATGGTGATTTTTGGTGCGCTGGTCGACTGTGTTGAAGCTTCAAGTAGAGTAGCCCTGGATTTATGCAGATGCCGAGGCGGCAGACTATATGCAAGTCCAAGACGGGGATCTCAAGCCGATTCAGACCGGAGAAGATAACTAACATCCATGATAGGAGGAACCCTATCAATCTAAGAACGGGGATAACCGCTACTGGTACCGAGAAACTCACGCCAAAGGAGTTCGTTCCGCTCGGGAAGTGCTTCCGCGGTACGGAAGGATACAGTGGCCACTCTGCAAAAACAAAACTCCCTTACTAAGTGTTATACCGCAGCGGTAACTGCTTATAAGACTCTCTATAACTACCTACTACTCATCCATATGTCCGCCCGCCTGCCCTACTTTCTTAACGCTTATCATTCTACTCACAGAATTTGTTCTTGCAGAGTGGCCACTGTATCCTTCCGTACCGCAGGGCATTGTGAGCAAGAAAATGGTTACCGCTTAGTAATCGGCTGTTTTTCCCCGGATCGATCTTGCTATAAACTAGAAAAGTCCCTCTCCCCGACTTTCTTTCTACTCGAGTCTCTTATTAATATATCCGCAAACATGTCACTTTTAGGCCGATTGACGAGATCAAGGCCAGCAGCCTTCGCCAAATTCACAGCTGCCGCATCGCTCACTGCGGTCGGGGCCTGGCAGCTCTGGACAAGCGATTGCTACTTCGAGCCGTTTGGACCCGAAAATGATCACTTATTTCAGAGCGAGACCTTCAAGAAGTTCAACCCCGGAAAACACCCTTCGCTGAACGATTCATGTGTGCGAAAAGTCCCTCTGTCTCAGATCCAACCGGAGTTGGTCAACGACGCCATCGGAGGCGGCTCGAAACTGCTCGAGAGATTCTGTGCCGGCATGTGGGGTGGCTATGGTAAGTTTCCGTCCGTTGCGTTGCACTGTCTGTATGTGCGATCGTCTGCTGATCTTCAATGTCTCTACGCGCAGGATTTTCAATTCAGCGGAACATTCTGACCCGAATTGCGAGAAATGATACGAACAAGGGATCGGCGTTGTGGGAGAAAGATCAGCTACTGAGTAGTACTTACGAGCCAGGTAGAGCAACATGATGCCCTGATGATCCAGTCCCTCGGGGGTCGGGCCGTGGGGAATGAGCCGTGCTGACGACGATTGTAGGAACAAATGTGACGGACCACTTCCTCATCCTCGCGAAGTCTCCCAAGTCTATCGTGATGTGGGGTGCTGAGTCCCCCTCCGATGACCCGGGGGTCCGCCGTCCGATGGAGAATATAGCGGAGCTCACGGCTGAACTCGACCTGGACCGGGGAGTGGTAGAATTCAGGTATAAGAACATCTTCTACAATGGTGTGGAGCGAACGTCCAAGGCTCTCTTCCCGCCGCCGATTGTGTGGTTGCATTTTCAGTACTGCAAACTACTGGTCAAGTCTGGCGTGAGCCATTGCATGGTCTAGATGCTTTCTGAATATCTGTAATTTGAGAGGGGGATCCTTGTATCGTTAGTGTAGAGTATCTGGCCAAGGCTGTATTATAAGGAACATCACAATATGCGCTGACACCTAAGGACAGAACTGACCTAACATGCTGAAGCGTTAGCCTCCCCTGCTCTCGAGTCTAGCTTGCCCATTGTCTCAGCTCGGGAGCAGTTAGCCCTGGGATTATGATCGAGCACTGGGGCAACTGAGCATCACCAATCCACAATCATCGCCGCTTAGTAATCGGAGATGGTGGTTAAAAGTAGTAATTTATACCAAGGCCCGAACCTAAGGTGAAGTACTCCACCCAGTGGAACCAACCCTCCCATCGCTAATAAATACCCAACCATCTGGAACTAGGCAGTTGGAATAAGAACAGCCCCTTGCGTCAAACTCCAAGTTTTAATATAATAATTAAATTAACTATTTCTGGCCTGTTTGCAAAGACCAGCAGAGAAAAGATGTTTTAGTAGTTGTAATAGATTGTTAGGAACTACTTGACGCAGTAGACACGTTGGTTAGGCAAGACAAAACAGTCAAAAGTAGTTTTCTATTAATTTTAAGACTAATCCTGAAGAAACATTCTTTCTTGATAGGACTTTAAGACAATATATCATATATAAAGAAAGGGGTAAGCAACATAACAATATAGACTTCCGGATTAAAAGCCCGCCGAATTAGTATCGACCCAGAAGCGGACTGCCCTAATAGTAGATATGGGCTGCTGTAGCAGGAGGTATTGTGTAACATAGATTGTAGCCAGAATAATATAAGAAGGGGGTTTGGCGACATGCTGAAAGCAGGCGTAGCTACACTGGAAATATATTTCCGCTTGTGCTAGTCAGAATCCGGCATAGATGGCCTACAATGGAGAATTATCTCGGGACACAGTGGAACAACTTGAAGCTTGATTAGCCTCATCGTCATATTATTCTCCTATGTATATGTTACAACCACCAATAAGGCTCGAATATCTTCTTTTATCCCCGCTGTAGACGTTAAGGCCTCGTGCCCTGACGTAGCCAGTCATTTATCTCTCCATTGTAGTCTCCCATAATTTGATTGTGTTCGCCCCAAACAGCTAAGTGTGCTTGCGGTATGGAAACATTGCAAAGGAAGGCCTACTCACTACACAACGTGTTACCCAACTAAACCTTGCGTTCCATTATCCATACAAGTCAGGCTAGTCCCAAAGTCTTATAATCACAAACGAAATCGCGATAAGGAATAGTCATAAATCTGATTGATATGTTTGTTGGACGCAGTGACCCGCGGCTTCCGATTGGACGGGGAACTGGCGTACACTTCGGACTATACATCGGGGAGCAACTTGGATACCCGGGCCTGCTTCCCGGAATTCCGGATGACCAACCGATCGGCCCAAGCTCGGAACCTGCAGCAGGGAATCCCCCACCCCTCGGTCTAGCAATACCTCCAGCAGCAACAGGTTGTCTTATATGACACAATACCCAGGGATCGCTCTGAGTGCAGGTTGTGAAGGGTCTATATATTTCCGCCCGCATAAGTAGCGCTCTGTCTTCTGTCTTCAATCACATACATCCATTGTTACTGGAATACTACAGCACTATTAACAGAATGGTCAAGACAATCCCCTTTGGCAGTGTCGAGGTTCCGTCGCCGGGCTTCGGGGCGATGGGTATCAGCTTCGCGTTTGGTAGCAACCTCAGCCTAGAAGAAGCCGAACCAGTTCTGCTGAAGGCAGTTGAGTTGGGATGCACATTTTGGGATACTGCTGTAAGGCTTCGGAGGGGGAATTGGGAAAGGAATTAAGGCTGACAAGCTATCCAGGTGTCATATCAGGCGGGAGTAAATGAGAAGCTCTTAGGAGACTTCATCAGGAAGCACAATCTTCGGGATAAGATCTTCAGTGAGCAAGCTAGGACCACCGGGACCTATTTTCTGTCTCCAGCTGACCTGACGTTTGCTTGAAACAGTTGCCTCTAAGTGTGGCTTTGATGTTTTTGGAGATGGCTCAGTCACTAACTCTGCCTCTCACATCAAGACATACATTGATGGCACAATTGAGCGCCTAGGCTTTACGCCGGACCTGTATTATCTGCATCGGATGGATCCGAGTGAGTATTGAAAACTTAAGCCATGTCTATCCCGAGGTCCAACTGAACTCGTCCAGATACCCCTCTCCAGGAATCTATCACAGCTCTCGATGAAATTCGTAAGGCGGAAAAGACTCGGTATATCGGTATTTCGGAATGCTCGGCACAGACCCTGCGTACTGCTAATTCAAGTATGTTGTTGTCTCTTGTCGACCTTTACCTTGCGCCCCTCCTCGCTCACCGTAATGCTTGCAGTTGCCAAAATTGACGCCGTTCAGGCTGAGTACTCGGCCTTTGAGACCGTGCACGAGACAGACGGCCTGATTCAGGCTTGCAAGGAACTTGGCGTGACGTACGTTGCGTATGGTCCATTGGGGCATGGCTGGCTCGTCGACAACTTCCCCTATCAGTCACCCGAAGACTTTGCGGAAGATGACTTCCGCCGCCACAACTGTCAGTTGTCTATCGATACGACGAAATCCCGCAGATGATAGGCTAACGCATAAGCTACAGGTCCCAAGTACCAGGGCGAGAACTTCTATAAAAACAAGGCAATTGTGGAAGAAATGAAAAAGATCTCTGCTCGTAGAGGTTGTGCGCTCAGTCAAGTCGCGCTGGCTTGGGTCGCTTCCCAGGGACTGCTTGCAATCCCTGGCACCACCAACCCACAACGCTTAGAAGAGAATTGGGCATCTCGGGATATCGAGCTGACTGACGAGGAGAAGCAGGAAATCCGGAAGATTATTGAGTCTAACAAGCCGCATGGTAACAGGTACAATGAGACTTGGCAGGCGATGGTGGGTCACTAGTGGAAGACCAGCATAGAATCGATGAGATATTTCCTCAGAGGGAACGGTCTGGCAGGCACAAACCCCCTAGCAAGTACTAGATGCATTGATTTGGCTTTGATTTGCTAAACAACTTTCAGTTGAATTGTATCCTAATCCGCAGGGGTTGGCTGAATATAAATTCTTTTAGAACTATCAGAAGCTACTTAATAACCTGGGGCTCGCCTGTAAGGCTACGAGTGTTGATGAACTTAACCAACTAATAATTCTACTTATAGGAAAAGACAGGAAGAGGAAAACCCTGTAGGCCTTTAAACAATATTTATATAATGTACTATAGGTACCTCAGGCATCTATAGCCGGCTAAATAATGGGCTATTAAAAAGTCTACTTAGACTTGCTAAACCTGACTATTATTCCTTAGCTATTGTTACGGGACGGATAGATTGTGCTGATCGAAATGTGCCTTAGAACAGGAAGAAATAGCTGCAAGGCTATTTCGTCTGTTTGTACAAAATTCTTTTATGTGTGCTAAGCTAGCGCTAGTTTAGTACGTAGTGCACAAGGCCTCAGGTATCAACTAATACCTAAAGCCGAGCTCTATACTAAGGCCTTAATCCTATAACAGAAGCCCCCCTCTATTACAGATAACCTCCAGATGTATAGTAATTCCAACTCGGAACAATAGCGCCTTTATTATATTCTAGTTGTAATGTCAATAACCTTCGATAAGCAAACTCCAAGGTCTCTCAGACTGGAACTTTCTGCATGAACAAACTTCTGACATATTGACCAGAAATTTCGCGGCTTCATGCCTCTGTATGCTGAGCAGATAGCTGGACTCGAACTTCGAGAGCCAGACTCTGATATTGCCAGCATACCGGGAGCGTATTCCGAGCCCTTCGAGGTAGGATATGAGCCTGCAGCAGATCCTCGACGAGAACCACATGTTTTGTTTCGCTTCCATCAGACGACTTTGATCTCTATGGTGACAACCAGTGGCCCTCTGAGGACGAATTGCCCGGCTTTCGAAAAACTTACATCGAATATTTCGCCGAGGCACTGAGCTTATGTCGGTCCTTGATGCGAATCTTTGCTTTGGCACTTGACTTGCCAGAAGAGTTCTTCGATCCAATGATGGAGTACCCAGGTGCGACATCCAGAATGCTACATTATCCTTCACAATCGGTGGATGATACGTCTAAGATCGGTTTGGGTGCTCATACGGTAAGCTCATGGTTCCTCCAACGAGAATTGATCAGCATTCTTCTCCGTGCCTTCCAGAATATCTGATCGACAATGCAGGATTATGAGTGCATCACCATTCTTTCCCAGGACGAAGTGCCAGCCCTGCAAGTGCGCAACTCTAGCGAAGAGTGGATCACTGTTCAGCCCCTTCCAAACACACTGGTGGTTAACATCGCGGATTGTTTGTCCATGTGGTAAGAACAAATCTGCATTTGCGAAGGGAAAACAGAAGCTGAATAACTACAGGACAGACCGGAAGTTCAAATCGACGGTACATCGGGTCATCAATATCACTGGGGAAGAACGATATACGATCCCTTTTTTCTTTGGAGTGGAATATAATACAACGGTATCAGTTCTGCCCAGCTGAGTGTCAGAAGACAACCAGGCATGTCAAAAGCCTTTCAAAGCGGGAGAGGTAAGTAATAATCCAATTGGACTTTGAGTTTTGAGATTGACATATTTCCATAGTGGGTGCGCCGTCAATTGACGGCCTCGTATGTTGGATACGGCCAACAGCCGCCGGTTGAAAAACGTTGACCGTGAATATAAGCAACGAATTCAGGTAACGCACATCTTTCACCAACAACCATGATTACTTTGTTCTTTTCGATATCTTCCCTTGAAATGCGCGAGATTGTCAAGATATGACAATTGTCGACCTTACTATATGAACAGTCTCGAGCAATGGTGAATCACTATAAAAGCGGTCCATACAAAGTGACTATTCAGAGATGTTAATATATGATTTACTGTTTATTAACAGCCTAAGGTATTCGAATCCATGAGATATGCTCACAGCTAGCAATTGAAAGCAGTTGACGTACCATTCTGTCAAATCGTTTCGTCAGTTTGACAGGATCGATGGTCTCCAGAGGAACAGGGGTAGCCATGTGAAGACCTTTGACCCACTGATCCAATATGAATATGTTCGTCTCCATATTATCTTTGCCTATTGGCAGTAGAGCCCTTTGTAGTATTTCACAAAATAGAAGCCAACTTTCCACCACAGCCAGCAGCCTCACACATCAAATCGCTGTCCTGAGCCCCTCGGTTGCTGCTGTTGTACTTAGTGGTGTGTTTCAAGGTCAATTCACATCATCATTACCGCATCAAGCAAGTCCAATGGGATGGCTACTGATTATAACATTTTACCTTTGAGTAGGGCGGACATGGTTTCTGTTCACCTGGAGACTCTACCTTGAGAACAAGAACCCAAGTCGAAGCGCATAGAATGCACCCGAGTCATAGATATTTGAACGTAAACGTGCGAAATCAAGGGGACTGCGAAAAAATTGCAATAAATCAATTATACAGTAGGTTACGACGTGGCTGGGTTTCGGGTGACGAACTTGCGAGCGCTAAATCTCATCTCCCGGCGGTCCCTCCCCAGAAAACAGTTAAGTCAGTATTCCACCGTCACCTCCCACCACCACAACACCACACCTCCGCTTCCCCTGAAAATCATCCCTCATACCTATACTCAACAAATATCCACTTGATCTCAATCCTCAAAGCCAGTGATACTGTATAGCTCCTTTCTCTTCATGGATGCCATTTCCATCTTACGTATGGCGGCCACAGAAAACCTACTATTCTCGTGATGTCATTGACTTCTGCTCGTCGATGACGCATCGCACTCGTCGTGGACCGACAACAGCAATGCCCATGACACCACGACTACGCTGATTTCACGTGGCGCATGATCGATCTGCCTGGAACTATACTCAAACAACCTCATCTTGACCAGATTTACCGCTGCGACAGACTTCGCGCCGGGCCCCCCGATCCACGGTTACCGTGCAGTCAATTTGTCCGTAACAATCCCCAAAGGACGTGGTGCTGAAAGGAAGACAATTATGATGTCAAGATTGCTCAGCACTCGGAATTCCGGGACTTCCTTAACATCATTGACCTCGATGGTGGTGCAAAGTTCATATAGTGCCTCGTAACCACACATGAGCCAAATGCAAACCATTCATGGCTATGCTGCCCCGGTTTCCTACTTTGTTGAATTGAATGCAGCATGGCTTCCAATAACGCAATGGAGCCAATTGCTGTGAACGGAGGCGTTACGTCGCTTCCAATCCTACGAGAGACAGTCAACACTGTCTCCGAAGAATGTCCCACACGCCTTGGTCTAACGGCGGAGGAAATCGAGAACAAAGCCCCGAGTCTCGATGTGTTCTTCGATACTATCGCGGCAGAGCGGCTTCGGCGCATGCCTGCAGACGGTAGTCGACTGGACGGGGTTCTCAGACGAGCTTCGCGTCTCGCGGTTGCTGTGGGTTCTTTACGCGACGCAGTGTCCAGTTACATGGATGGCGCGGATGAAGCCACTGCGCTTGTCTGGGGGACAACGCTGCTTCTGCTTGAGGTATGAGATTCTTTCCACTCAATTGCAAGATATGTTCTAACTAGAAACTCAGATGGGCATCGATCAACTCGACATAATTGAAGGCTTGTTTGGCCGCTATGGTCGCATCACTATGGGTATCTCGCTCTTGCTCCAGCAGGAAACCTACTTCCCTACATCCCGGCCTCTGCAGCAACAGGTTGCCGAGATCTACGCCCATATCTTGCAACTTGTCGTCCACGTGGCTTGGGAATATCGCCAAGGAGCGAAGACTCAGCATTGGCAGTCGATGAACACCGCTATCGATTTGGCCTTCTTCCGCTACTTCAACCGCTTCGCTACTCACTGGCGTCGTGTGTCTGAGCTCGTGCTGCAAGCAGGAACGGCTAAACATCAGACATCAGTCAATCTGTCGGTCATTTATCAATTCCTCGAGCTCCAAGATCGTCCGTTGCAGATGCTTCTTGAAGGCCAGAACCACTCCTTAGCGGACGGATCCTTCTCCTGGTTCGAGCCGCATCTGACTACCTTCGCTATGAGTCGTCGAAGTCTTATGATGATCCGAGGAAATCCCGGCTCAGGCAAAAGTGCACTCGCTCAATGGACTGTCGAGCGACTTCAGGCTTCCTCGGAGTATGATATCTGGAACGTCATTCCGATTATCATCAGATCGGACGTCCCAATCACAACGCTCACGCTGAGCATTCTTAAGGGAATTCTGATCCAGATCCTTGATCATTCAGTAACTAGCCGCAGGACTCAAGATGCCATCTTGACTGCTGTGACCGGCGCTATTGAGCTTGCAGTGGCTGGTGCAACTGACCCTCAAGTTGAAGGACAGCTTTGGACTGCCATCCGCGCTGCTGTGCAATCCAATTTGCACTTTATGTTGGTGGTTGATGGGTTCGACCAAATGAAGCACGCCGAGACAACTGTTAGCGCGTTTTTGGGGTTGCTGCAAGACACAGTGACCGATACTCCTTCCAAGTTGATCATTTTCAGCCGACCTATGTCTAAGGACATACTGCCAATCCGCGAGACCACAAAGACACACCAGGTTGCTATGAATGCCGCTACGATCCAGCATGATATGCAAGTCGCGGTCAGCGATATGATGACGGCGGATTCTTCGTTCTCTGGCCTCGAGCCGTCCCAACGGGAGTCATTGGGTGCAGCGATCGTATCCCGCTCTCAGGGTTGTTTCATATGGGCACAGTTGGCCGTCGAGGCGATGCAGCAGCGAACGACTGTCAGCGACATGACGTCCGCTGTTGCAAAAATGCCCAACACGCTGGGCGATTTGATTGACCACCATCTGCGTACTACCAATATCAAACGTCAAGGTGCGCAGAATCTTCTGGGCTGGTTGGCGGCCAGTGAGCGTCCCTTGCGCATCCCAGAGGTGGAACAGCTTCTGGCAGTTGATATCAAGACACTGAAAGTAGCCCCTCGCTCTTCCAACCTCGAGCGTGACCTCTTCCAACCCCTCAAACGCCTAGTCGCTGTTCGTGATGGGTTTGTGTCGTTCCGTCATCCAATGATCCGCGAGCACCTCCAAGCACGGGCTCAAATGCGCCAGGAATTACCATTCTCTTTGGCAGATGCTCATTTTGACCTTTTGATCCGCTGTTTAGCCTGGGTTCGCCGTACGGTCACTGACGAGGTCTCCCTCTCATGGGACAAGATGAGCGTGTTTGTACGCGACCGTTACTTGGACGCTTATGTCTTGCTTGAGTATACCGCACGCTATTGGCTATCGCATATGCTGGCATCGCCAATGGCATCTTCCGATCGTGAGATCTCTTTTGACGCAACATTCCGCCGTGCTCTACCCGACACTGTTCTCTTCGCCCAGTTGGAGCTTACCAACAGGGAGTCCCAGTTCAGTCGCTCAAGCATTGTGGAACTATACAGGTTGGCTGTTGGTGTTCGTCGTGTGGTTCTGGGGAACGAGTCTCCCGCTCTTCTACAGAGCTTGCTTCTCAGCGCTCGTGCTGCCGAACAGACACATGCCAGCTGGGCCAATGATCACCTGTACGAGGCTTGGATGCGCAGTCGTTCGCAACTGGGACCTTCCAACGCAATTACACGTGACCTTGAACAAATGCTTGTAGCCAACGGACAAGCGGATCGCACTGCAGGCATGAAGACTGATGCCCTGAAGGACATGGCACTGTCAGGATGGGGCTCATCCGACATTGGCTTTGCCCAAAGACTGCAGTACCTTGATAAACTGGTGAAGTCTTATAATGCCAACAAACAACCTGATGAGGCGTACTCTGCTGCTAAGCAGTTTTACCACCAGACAGTGCAGACGTACGGTGCTCATTCACCTGAAACCATGTCAGCAGCCGATTACCTCACCAAGAACTTTGAAATCGCGCCTCCGGACGAGTTGGCGCTGGAGCTTGCGCGAACCAAGTATGAGACAATGCTTCATTCGATGGATGCGACCGACCCGCGGCGAGTAGCCTATTCCCTCTACCTAGCCAAGATGTATGAGGAGAATAACCAGATCGGAAAAGCCGACGCAGTGCTGTCTCGACTGTGGGCAGGCCTATCTGCTCGCGGCTCCGATTCCGCAGACTCCTGGGATCAGAAAACAAGGGTGGCCTTCTATTACTCTCAGTTCCTGCGCCGCCAGCGTCGTCCCGAACAGGCTACAGGCATACTGCGCGACCTGGAGGTAGATTTGGAGACAGGGGGCGGCGTGAATTCGCCACAGATGGTTAAACGTGCCGAGGAGCTTCGCGGTGAGGCCCGGCAGATGGATCTGAAAGATATGGATCGTGCCCTTGCTCTGCAAATGTGGAAGTATTACAAATCTTCCGGTCAGCAATACACCCCTCAAGCCGTCTCTCTGGCCGAGTCTCTCACCGAAGGGATTATCCCCACCAAGAGTACTGCCAGCTCCATCGGCTCGCGCTTGTCGACACTCTCCCCAGAGGATAATGAACTGCTCCCTGGCTGGATTGATACTGTTGCATCAGCTGGCAGTGAGCGTGACCTAATGTCAATCCTGGCCCTATCTCACCAGCTGGCAAGTCAACGAATGGCAGCAGAGAAATGGCGTGAAGGAAACGAATGCGCCTGGGCAGTGCTAAAGCACCTCTGGCCTACTGTTGAGGACCCACAATCCAAGGCAAGGTTCCCCTCGGAGCAGGCGCCCCTGATGGCCAGCCTAGCTCTCGATCACGCGTACTGTCTGTTCCGGCGCCTGGACGTGGCACTGGCTACCATTGTATATGGAAATGCTTTCAAAGCATCCATCACCGCGGATCAAGTGGCCGTTCCTTCGGTTACTACTGTCGTCAAAACTGTCGTCGAGTTCTATGAGACGACCTTCCAATTTGACAAAGCAATGGTGTTGTTGCACCAGGTCAGCGACTTCTTTGCATCAAGACTAGGCAGTAACGATAAGCATACCCTGGACAGTCGCTACTATGAAGCCGATCTGGCGCTTCGCCTTGACCGTCGCACCGAGGCGGAAGACAGCTACAGTAAGATTTACAAGGCCTGCATCCCAGACGGCAGGGTAACATCGTCTGGTGTTCGGGCTGCAGTAGCTTTGGTCACTTTGTACGAACAAGACAAGAAGTGGGAAGATGCCCTTGATGTGTACCGGCACTTGTGGCCCACCCTCGTGCATTTTGATGAGAAAGACGGGTATGACCGGGCTCTTTTGGAGGGCTTGCTTCCCAAGACCTACAGTGGATACATGTCTATCTTGGAGAACTCGCCATCTGAAGCCGGGGACAATGAGCGGTACCAGATAGCCTCGCAGCATCACCAGCTCTGCAGGAAGCTGTATGGTCCTACCGACCCCCGCACCCGTGACGCGACTATGGCCCTTGCAGGAATCTGTTCTGGTCATCCCCAGCGTAGAAGCGAGGCGCTTCAGCTCTATGAACAAGTTCTCAAGACGAATGATTGGGTTCCAACTGCTGAGGCTTCGCGGTCGCTTCCTGACATGACCCAGCCACTGCCTATGGATATCAAGCATCGCATGGCCCAGTTATTCATGCTCCAGAAGGATACATCCCCGCAAGCGCGGGCCTTCTATACCGAAGAGCTTGCTTTGTCGAAGCAGCAGCAAGGGCTATCTGCACCAACGACGCACCTGTGGCTTCGTGAGATAGCGCGACTGTATGCCCTTCAAGATAATCCAGAGTCCCGCCGCCATGGAGCCGAGCTGCTTCATGAGCACGTCGATGAAGTCGTTCATGTCACCGCCAACCACGATACACTAGTGGAACGCGCCCATGGCCTGGCAGAAATCTACCTTGAATGCGGGTATATTGATGAAGGCTGGGAGCTCATCAACGAGCTGCACCAGCAGGTGATACATGATACACCGGCTTCTCACCGCCAGAATCTGGGCGAGTACCGACCTGCTGCATTCGTTGCAGCGTTCGAGGAAGTGTTTGGTCGAACACGTTCTTCGCGACAGATCTTGGATGACTTGTCTCGCGAAGGGCGGGTCTATAGTGTCTTCCAACAGCATCTGTCCAGCCATGACCTTATGCCCACCCTGGCGGCAGGCGACAAGCTGCACCAGCTGCAAATGGAGCAGAAGCGTAGCGCCGCGGCTCAAGACACCCAGGACAAACTTTACGAATACTTCTGCAACACGCTCTCGGTGGCGCAACCGCTGCGGAAGAAAGATGTTGTGCACCAGTTCTACGTCATGTGCCGTCGCGAGTCGCCCAATGATGACTACAACATCAATATCGTGACGCAGGCTACTGGACTAGTGCGAGACCTGTGCAACCGCTCACGCTTCCAGGATGCGGCTGATGTTACTGGCGTCTTCCACTCATTTGTCCACTTGACTGACGGACTACGGTTGGCGGAAAGTATCTTTACTGCCATCAAGCTTTGCCTGTATCTTTGCGGCTACAAGGTGAACAAGTGCACTGAAGCCACGACTGCGAAGAATATGTCGTTCGAGTCGCAAATGCTCCTGCAGGAGATCATGGCCAACGCGCGAGATCTTCCGATGGAATACGCCGAGTTACCCTTCTCGGAGCTCAATGACCTGGTGACTGTTTTGGGTGAACATGAGATGTTCGAAGACTTGGAGGTAAGCGACATCCCGCCCATGTCAAGGTACTTACTAATAAAATCTTTCCTAGTCTATCCTCACCGACCTCTGGACCTCCCGTATTGTGCAAAAGACCTGGTCCCTACCCGCTGTGGTGTGGATTGGTCGCCGGCTCGTGGAAACACGGTACTGTCGCGGCCAGGTCAGCGCTGCAACGGCGCTCGGCAAGGATATCTGCTACAATCTGCGCCAGGTCTGGGGCAATGCCGACCCGGTGACGCTGGAGATGAACAAGCTGCTGTCTGGCCTCTACACAGCGTCGGGCAACCATCTTGCTGCCGCCGCTCTGCACGAGACCGCCCTTGCAGAGCTCTTGAACAGTGAGACCAGTGATCACAATGCGGCCGTAAACGCAGTGACCCAGCACCTGGAGTTGTTGCAGTACGCCCAAGGACGCCTGGCCAAGGAGGGCCAGAGCGCAGCCATTGACGCCACGGCTGCCCAGGAACGCGTGCAGGACATCGCCACGAAGTTCGGACTCTCACCCACCAAGCTCGAAGCCGGCAAAACCGACGAGTCGATGGGCATGTGGCAGCGCCCGCGCCGGTTCAGCCTGGACGTGGAGGAGCTGGAGACCCATCAGAACCACCTCCGCCAATCCAGCGGGTCGGCGCTGCTGACGGGCAACGGAGGGGCGAAGCGTCTCTCCATTACTGCCTTGTAATGGATGGAATGGGATGTAGCTCGATGTTGATGTTAATCAACCAGACTGCCTGTGTATTTTGAAATGTTGTATATCCAATCCGGAAGAATAATTGGGTGGACATAGGGCAAGGTAGTGTATAGTACGGAGTTAATGAAACTTTTGTTTGTCCTATTCAAGTGTAGGCCTTTCGGAGAACACTGTAAACTCCGGAATTCTGGACAGTATGTCTTTCCCAGCAATCGAGATGGTATCCTCGTGGCGCATGGAGATAAGTTTTCACCCAGGTTCTTATCACCGAATCCTAACTCAGTACCAAGATTTCCCGAAGACTGTAGACAAAATGAGGTCTATGTAGTTGACCTTGGGTACTACGCAATGTTAGAAATAGTAGCTTCACTAACACATCAATAAACCCACACCACCTCTTACCCTCATCCACCTATACACCCACCTATACACAACCCCCATCCACCATCTCAATCCAAGACATATCCTAATCCCAATCCCAATCCCAAAATCAATACACTCATCCCCCCCATCTTCAAGACCAACCGCACCGCACCGCACCCCAAATGACCTCTCTCATAACTTAACCTTCCTCCACCCCCAACTCCTGCTCACTCCCACCCTACCGGAATGAAATGCGTCGGAGGCGTTGGAGTGGCTGGATCTTTACTCTTACTATGGGGTTATTGGATAAAGGTAGCGGTCGTCCAAGTTGTTGGGCGTCTTGCTGGCTGGGAGTTGGCGGCGAGGTTGGAATCCGGGCTTGTGGAGAGGAGCAAGCCGGAGAAGGAAGGGGGGCTGGGGGGCTGGATTGTCTGAGTCTGGGATTGTGTCGGTCACGGTTGTTGCGGGAGGATGCAAAAGAGGAGGGGGGGGATCGATGGTAAGGAGTGGCGGCCAGGGTGGCGTTGAGGGTGTTGGGGAGTGGCGAGTCGGCTTCTCGAAGATATCCAACCGGGGGTGATGAAGTATTTGTTGTGGGTTGCACTTGCAATGGAGGCAGTAGTCATGGCCGCTCATGTTTGTATCTTTTGTTCTCTTGAAACAGTCTTGCTGTATTGCTTCTATCTTACACTGCATTATCATCATCGCCATCATCAACGAGTCATGCTTGCTATGTACTTCCTAGCGTATATACAAGTTATTCACAGATTGCTATTCCTGTCAATCATACTCCCAGGCGCAGCAATCAAAACATCCCTCGCCGGGAACGGGCACCCCATCCCTCCTCTTTGCCCACGCTCAGTCGCTCATACCGCTCGAGCATATCATGCATCCCGGTCGCCGCCGACGACTGCACGTCGCTTCTCATCCCATCGATGTAGCTGGGGTCACCGTCAGCTTTGGTCAACCCCTCGGCGTAGTGATCCCATCGGTCGGGCTTCTGAGATTCCGAGTCCTGCCGGAACAACTCCTTGATGCCGGGAGGGACGTCCGTGGAGTGTGCGACTCGCGATCCCTGGTTGCGAGAGCGCACGGACAATTTGAACAGATGAAACAGGTTGCGGCCCACCTGGGACCGACACGCGATGATGGAAAAGGCACTGGTCAAAGTCAAGAAGTCTTGGTCAAGAATATCGAAGCTCTTCTGTTCCAGAAGAGCAAAAAGTGCGAGGTTCACTGAATACATGGCGAACTGGTGGGCGTGTTCCATCCCATACTCAGTTCGATGGAGTCGAGCGAGAGAGGCAATCGATCGCGCGGACGAGATAGCAATGGCAAACGGATTGAACTGATCTTGGGCGTCAGAGACTTCGTTCAGATGGGACAATCGTGCATTCGGGCCGAGGGCATCGAAGCAGAGATTAATCACTAGTGTGTGATATCGCATCCTGTTCACTCGTTAGGTTTGGCCATAGACGAAAAGAACAGGCGGTACCAACCAGAGGAGGATAATATGGGGGGCGGGCTTTTCAGCTGGATCGAAGCACGGCGGAAGTCCCCGCTGCCACTTGCGGAGGCGCAGATACAGCTCCCGTTTGCGCTGATTGTAACCGGGAGCAGAATGTCCTTCCTTCGACAAGCTCCGAGAGATGTCACGGGCAATGTCAGACAGCTGGCAAGCATCATCAAAGTACTGACTCAGATAAGATAGTCGGGCTGGGCGAGGAAGGGGATATGGTGTCCATATATCTCCTGCGCCTGCGTCATCCCGGGCAATCCGGTCAATGCTGACTGAGTTCACGCGACTTGGCTTGAGGAAGTTCGTGTGAACAACCCTGTGGTAGGATTCGTGCGATAAGGGTTAGTCCACATGATTCCTTGAACAAGGTCGGTTTAGACTTACGTGTCGATTTGATAGAGGCCCCAAGCGGTCCGCTTGATGGAGATAATCATGTCTTCCGACATCTGCGATGTCTTGAGCTCTCGCTTTTTATGATTGATGATCCCTAGTGACTCTGCCATTTCAATGGCACGATGTAGCATGGCATAGCCATGATCACCATTTCCGGAGACGGAATATCTAGAAGGCATTCAATCATCAGACATCGAAGGATTCATAACGACAAGGGGTAGCTGCATGGATAGGGGACTTACCTCTCATATAGGAGAAGGATTGCTTGCAGGGTCGGTAGTCGAATATCATTGCCCCTTTCGAATTGGTGTCTTTTCATGTGGCGCTCCGCCTCCGCGAGGAAGTCCGCCCCTTTCGTCCTCACATCCCCAGGAACCGTGTATACCTCGGAATAGGGTGAATAGTACTGTGCCGGTGCCATCCCACAACTTCAGTAACAGATCCAGAGCGATGGGCGAAATTTCCCGGACTTACACATGCGTTAGCGAGCAGCGCATTGACTAAGAATGGGCTGCAGAAGTCTGAATCCACATTGCCCATCGCCATGTGCTTCAGGAAGGATTTGCGGTCCATAAACGCATAGAACGGATAGTCCCATGTCAGATACAGGGAAACTAGATGGGATACGAGGTCGTCATCATCCGTGACGCTGGTCCAAGGCTTCGCGGGCACCCGAAAGGGAGCATTCCCCGTCAGATATCGGATGTCCATCATCATGGGCCGGAACTTGGGTGCTTCACTTTCCACCTCGATCCCTTGCCAAATGCCGTATAGCTGTTGCAGCGCATGGGAGTCCTTTCCGGCAGCGCGCATTTCGGCGAGAGTCTGGTCCAGATAGGCACGCACTTCTTCTATGGAGGCGTGTTTTCGGATGAGCTTTAGCAGGGCGTCGGCATGGTTGGGAACCTCCGATCGCACGACCTCGAAGAGATCGTAGAGCATATCATGATGATAGTTCGACGTGTCAGTTAGATACTCGGCCACGGATTGACAGGCCTCGGCTGAAGTCTCGTTGGACGCCTCGTGGCCCGGATGTGCGTGGACCATAGGCGAGTGACGGCCATTCTACGGGGAGGATGTGATCGGTCAACAATCCAGTATTACAAGTTGGGGAAGGATGAATCAAGATGCAGGATCAGGGATTCACCTACCATCAGCTCATCCGACTGGGAAAGAGACCGGGTCGGCTGAATCGGTGGAGAGTTGCTAGGCGACATGGATGGATGCTAAGCATAAGATACTAGTGTAGTAGGTGATAGGCGAAAGGGAGCAGGTGGTGAAACACGTTCCGTCCAGCAGGTGTCAAGCCTCAGTCCTCACACAAAAAGGGTTAGGTCAACCCGAATCTAGAAAGCCACATTGAAGACTAAATAAACGTGGGATATGCAGTTTTAGCGGAGGGATGGGTGGGATGGGTGGGATGATGAGATGATGGGATGAGGGGATGAGAATAAGTGGATGAAGATAAAAGATGGGAAGGAAAAAGAATGCGGGAAAAGGAAAATCCAAGGATGATGCAGTCAGTCAGTCAGTTGGAGAGTGGGTGGGTTGGATGGGATTGTGGGCGGTGCCTGAGACCCAAAACTGACTACACCATGACATCAGTCCGCTTGCCGCTTCAGTCACTCTCTTTTCTCTCTCCACTGCAGTGCAGTCTTCCCTCAGCTCCCACCTCTTAGACTTCTTAGGGGACAGTAGTTTATTCTCGCCACTATCCATCACCTGATCATCGTCATAGCCCGCAGCCCTGCCTCCGTCTTCTCATCACACACACCAACAAACATTGCCCTCGGAGAGAAGTCCATCGAAGCTCGGTGAAACCATGGAGAGAGTATTGAAAACAAGGGGGGAAAAAAAAATATTCAAAACCACTCAAGATCAGCACCCCCAAGCTGCGAAACGATCTTCGCTAACATGAGTATGTTATAACGTTAGCGGAGCATGAAGTGCAACGAGCTGCAGCTGCAGCAACAGCTCGCTTCACAGCCGAGGTCGCAAATAGGCGTAATTTAAAGTGTGAGCTTCTCCAGCCACCCGGCGTGGGTCTTCCCAAAATTGCCCTCGGCAAATTCGGTCCGGGGGAGGCTGCCGACCGTATTTTTCAATACGCATACGGGGACCATTGCGGGCGACAGGCAACACCGTTTCTGTCAATCTGATTCGCGAACGCTGACACACTGTTTTCCAGCCCTATGACCTTAAACCTCCCCAGGGCTGAACAATTGAAGATCGGGATGGAACCCTCCACTTCTCGGGGGATAAATCATGAAGCGGGATTGTCACAAGCCTAGTTGAGAATATGCCACCACCACGTCATCATCTTGATCAGCCACCTTTCTCCGAGAGGCAGTGGTCGACGGAAGGCCCATCCTAGTCCCTCGCGTAGCTGCATCTCCACCACTCGGCGCCAGTCGACATGGTGGGCAAAATGGAATGGAAAGTGGTGTTGGCTGATCGACTTGATCGTGCAGTCCATCTTCGGCTGCTCCTGCAGCTCTATGTGCGGCTGCAGCAAGGCGGGCTGTTCGCCTTCCAGGTCCAACTCGATCTGCAATGACCCCTGGCTAGTGAACTGGCGCACCTGCACAGCGAGATTATGGTGATGATGGCTGTGATAGCGATGGCGATCGTGCTCGTCAACATCCCGAAGAATGGTGAGGTCAATGAGCGGGTGCTCAAATACCTCCAGTAAACCATGGTGCTCGCTCCCATGCGGTGCGAGGTTCACCTGGAATCGGCCTTCGAAGATCAGGTTCGGCGAAGAGGGCTTGCGATGCACAAAGACTCGCGTCATTCGAAGCGGCAACTCAATCAAAGCAAGCGAATGAAGAATGACTTTCTGGGGCGGTGTGTCGGGCTCGGTCCAGGTGCGACGAGCGAGGCCATCATTTACATAGCGGACGATTTGTTCACTGATTTGAGCTTGATTCATGTGCCAGAGACGTTGGAGGATTTCATTTACCCAGTTGATAGTCTCACCGTGGGCCAGGATCTTGGTGGCGTGATAGCGCTGGCAGTCATCTCGAACGACTCGCTGCATGCGCTTCATGGACACCTTGGTATAGGTGCGACTAGCCGCGAGGACGAACAGTAGCCATGCGAAACTGAATCTGAATTGACCCACAAGCCACGAGGCGAGACACACGAGCACGATGACTCGAGCCTCCGTGTAGGTTTGCTCGATAGATCCGATCAAGTCGGCTGGCTCGCGAGCACGACCGGGCTTGCCCATGGCAACGAGATGTTCGATTTGCTTCCTGCTCTGGCAAAAAGCACTCAAGTATCTTAGCAATGCTGAAGGGGAGTTCGCTTGTCATATAGGCAATCAAGGAACGATAGCTGCAAGCTGCGTGCGACAATCATAACCAGACGGTCGGGCAACATAGCGGACGCAAGTGTCGATTGCAGGTTTCATGTTCTGACTCTGAAGAAGAGCAGGCAACCGTAGTCTTTATATTGAGTACCACAAGGTGACGAGGGGGAAAACCCGACTAAGGGGTGGGGGGCTTCATGTTGACAAGTGGTTCTGCAGATTCAAGCAGGGCTAAGACTCATAGGGCTGATGCGCCTCCGAAAAATAAGAACGGTATTGCAAATACCGAGTAAGTCTCCCTGGGCTGACCCACACTTGTGGAGGCGCCGGAAATTCCATCTCCCGACAAGCCGCAATGCACACGAAGATGTGGCTTGGGCTTGTTTGCATTTGGTTTCTCACTTGGGGTGTGTTGAAAAGCGTGGTGACCCGCTCGGTAACTATGCGGTGCCAGGCAATATGCTATCAGACGCTGATTTGACATGGAGATCTTTGCAGCCTCGAGGATGTAGAATACTGAGTTTAATGCTTGATCACTGAACACAGCTGCCGAGGCACTTTCCATCCGTGCTTAATCGATACGCTGATACAAAGAATGGGACTCGGCTCGTGTTGCTGTTGTTCCCGAGTGTATTAACCAAGATGAAGGGACTGGCGCCGTCTCTCTGGTGGTCATGATCAAGGTCCAACCGGCAGCTAAGGCTCTCGAAAGAAATCCCAGCTTGCAGTTCTTTCAAGATCCCGATGCCTGCTATAACAAACCTTTAAACTGGCCAGCTCGTTCAGTGGTTGATCAGTCTCAAGTGGCAGCCTTACACTTCTACAGGCCACTGTCTGATTCAGCTCATACCGAAATCGAGGTCGCCAACGGTACCATCCTCTAGAGAAAGATCATGTCATCCATCGGCAGCAAAAGTTGATGTCGCCTGAGTCGAGCTGAATTAGAAAGTCAATGCTTTCCATACGAAGCCCGACCCATATTCCTTCGGCATCGGACGATTACCGCAGGCCCAGTCGCGCGCTTCGTCTTCATCGTCGCCGCCGCCGCCAACGAGGCCAACAGAACCACATTCATTCTGGACCTGAGCATCATTCAAGGAGGCTTCGCTTCGATTTGTTATGACCTCTTTCGCCTAGACTTGGCCTCCTCCCGGAGTGTATACCTCGACGAGGATGCTGGCGCTTAAGCCGATTTAGATGGCTGTGCTGTCGTGGCAAAGCGAGTTGCCGGGTCCTCGTGAAAGGCGCTACGTGTAACGTACTGATTGCGGGTTCACAAGGGCGAATATCAAGCATGAAAGGCAAGTGTCGTGGCTAGGGCTGCGTGGCCGGTGGGATGGAGGAGATGGAGGATGGAGGTGAAGGGCATTATGAGGTGTGCCGGATTGAGAAGAGTCGACGGAAAAATTGATGCATGGCACTGTGGTGGGAGGGATTGGTCAATGCTGAATGTCTTTTCAAAGCGATATGGGTGGTTTTCTATTGGCTTAGTAGCGCTCATGAGTGCTTCTGTATGGTTGCGATTGGTTATATGGCTTGCCAAATGTAGCAGCTATGTCGGCTGACGTAGGGTTGGTCAAGTAGGATAAATGTTCTTCGGTTGTGTTGGAGGATACTTCCCTCATGCGAAATGCGTGCTTTCGGTCAGCAAAGGCTGAATGCAATGGGTAGTGGGCGACTGGGGTTACAGTCCTACCATAAATCAATGACCTTGGGTGCATGCGATGGAAAAATCCCACAACGTCAGGATGTATGGAGACAGCTTCGGTTGTGTTCGAAAATCGACTGAATTGGGTGAGTCGCTCTCTCATCCTCGTAGAATGGTTGTCAGTGCTTGTCATGATGCTTTTTAGATCAACTGCTGAACTCGCCATCATCATGGGCATGAGTACTGGACCTGTGCGGTGTCTAGGAATAACTTTCCTGTTTGCATATCTGTCAAATTCTGCTTCCTCTACGACAATGACTATTTTTGCATGTTTGACGGGGAGCCAAACGAAGACCACTAAAACTCGTTGCTTGTGATTTCCTCCCGTCCAGTGCTTTCCCGCCTTAATCCATCCCCACCGAGTAACAGATAATCCTTCATTCGTTGCTCGCGCTATTTGTGAGGACGCACTTTCGACTACGATCAAAAGGTGAACAGAATGACCCCGGTTCGTTTGCAATGACTGCAAGGGCATCCCTCACTCGTGCTGGAACGGCAATAAGCTGACAACCCGGCTGCTTGTGTAGGTAGTTATGTCACTGGCCCGATGTCTCAACGTTGTTATGCATGAGACAAGACGCTATGACTGAATAGGTATGATGCAGCAATGTCGAGGGATTTCCAGGAAATGGCTGACAGCGACGATCTTCGATGCGGCAGGGTTCGTGTTCGTTGTCTACCGCAATGATCGCCAGACCATCACAGAAACCACCTCCTATTCTGCGGTGACAGAGAGCTATAAACCACTTGTCTGGTGCCCCTTGATCTAGTTTGGGAAAGACAATGTACTTGAACACGCTTCGTATCATCACTGGTCCTCAAAGAGGCAATCTCATTACACTAAGAGCGCTGATCTCTGCACAATGCTCGATCGACATGGGGGGAATCACCTTCCTTGGCACCCCTGGATCCCCGATCACTCGATTGACTAATCAGGCCCGACCCGGCGGCAATCAGATCTCCCCCTAGAGCTACGGGGGGGACTCCCTTCCCCTTCCAACTAGCGACGGAAATTGATTCCAAACCACAAGGGAGCAGACTACCATGACACTCTCAGCGATTTGCACCATGATTGACGCCTCGATTGCTGGAATATGCTGAGTCCTCAACCTCGATGTGACTGATCCACAAAGCCTCTTGGGACGGCGCCTGTCTGTTCTCGCTTCGACTGGTCGAATCACTGGGACCGCCACCAGGTCGCTGCGAGAAAGTGGGGAGAGGCAAAGGCCGGGCTAGACAGCACATTTGAAATAATCAACTGATCGGGCGGGCATGATTTGAAAGCTTTTAGGCCTCTCGTCCTGTTAAACCACGGATCCAGCCCGCCCCCGGAACCAGAGCACTCCACGAACACCCCTGCAGAATTGAGGTCTCCTCGTCATTTCTCCTGGTGTAAGCCACCACTGATGGTGCTCGATGACCGTTACTACTATCTCTGAGTCTGTGGTTGCACGTTAGACTTTAGAAGTCTCTCCCTCTCTCCATCCCATGATTGTGACAATAGACTTTGTTTGTCAACAATCCATATTCCAGCCTGCATCGCTTTCACATAAAGACCAAGACCTGAGCTGGCACGAACACGACCTTTCAGCAACGCCTTTTCCCCGCAACCACAGGTGGCGAGCCGCATAACTTTCGACCCCTTAGACTGCGATGAGCAACGTTACCCTGGAGAATCGCCCGAAAAAGGATCAGCTTGATCCTCCCGCCCCAGGCAAAGCGGCTGTGCGAAAGAAAGTCCGACCCACCTATTCATGCTTAAATTGCCATAAACGCAAAGTTAAGGTATATCCACACCACACTACACTGAACACCTATGCGAGGCAATCGCCACTACCACTTTGTTCCAACCATGTTCTCGGTTGTCTGCAGCTTTGGACTAATGCATACCGTAACAGTGCGATCGTGTCAAACCATGCGGTGCTTGCTGTCTACGGGGCACACCCTCGGAATGTGATTATGGCACCAGCAAGCGAGACCGCCAGTATATCCAACAAGCAACTCTCATTGACAATCTGCTACGCTCTTGTGAGAGCCTGAAGCAGCAGCTGGCGGAGGCTCGTCAGCTTGCCAACATACCTGCTGTGAAGGCTGAGGAGGGGCCACTATCGAGAAGGAGACCACTTCACACGGGCCGAAAGACGGACGATTGGGACGATGAAGATGCGCTTGAGGATTTAGATTTACCTATGGCAGACTCTGAGCAATCGTCCTTGATTTCTCGCGATGCTATAGTACTTAGCGAGGACCACGAAGGCAACACATTTCGACAAAGTATGCTCTATCCTTCTGCACTCCAAATTGCACTTTCCCTGTCGCTTACGATGGTCTAGTTCACGGGTCCACTCCGATTCTGAAAGAGAAGCGTGTTCTGACAGACCCGATGGCAGCTGGTGTCGCAATAGAGTTCTTCATCGAACGATTGGTTGATAACTTCAGTCCGGTCAATGTCAGCGGCACCATTGCACTACGTGAGGCCAAAGAGATGCGAATACTTTCACCAATTCTCTACAAGGCTTTCGAAGCAGCATCACTCACATTTGCCGGAAGACAGTATCATAACAAGGCTCTCGAGGTTGCAGGCAATTCCAGGTATATCAAAGTACTTCATCTTCTCCAGACGGCGTTGAATGAACCTGAGGGCAATCAATCGACCGAGGTCTTGCTAGTGGTCCTACTGTCTACCATTATTGAGGTATGTTTCCGGTTATAAATGGTGCAGCCAGGCATCATACTCACTATCGCGAAAGGCTTTCAGACAAACGTCGGTAACCTCCATTTTTCGACACCAGCTGGGTGGCTTGGCGCTACTGCGGGCACGAACCCCTTATCGCCACCGGCATGGAGTCGAGAGATCTCTGTTCGTTGATCTGCGACTATACTGGGTTAGCAACTATCCTCTCGTTTTGGATTTGACCTCCGAGCGGAATTGACCGAAGTTTATAGGTTACTGCCGCGTTGGTGCATCGCAAGCCGACTTTCTTGTCCTCGGACGAATGGCTTACAGTGCCTTGGTCTTGCGACGGACCGTCAAAAGATATCCTTCAACATCTCCTCGACGTTGCCGTTCATATTCCGGGCTACCTCGCACAGATCGACGATCTCCAAGCGGCCTTGCAAAATCCGGCAGTCTCGCCATCCGAGTTAGTCACAATGCAGTCCACTATCTGGGACCGTGCCCTTGAACTGCAAAGCATGCTCCAGATGTGGAAGCGTACCTACGCCGACACATACGCCGGAGGCGGACCACACGAGGAGTCCAGCCTGGACATCCATCCCAGCAAACTGAAGAGCGGGGCCGACGGTCGCGGGGAGGACGTCTTCCCCGTCTTCCGGTGTCGCGATCCCAGCACGATGCAGATCACCGCAGCCACCAACCTGGTCTACCCGGATTTATTACTAGCCACCTCGATGTGCTACTACTGGGCGCTCAACCTCGTCATCACCTCCACCGACACCGGGCTTGTCGACGTGCTCGGCCGGCAGGAACGCTACGAGTTCGCCTGCAACATCTGTCGCAGCATGAAGTATTACACCCAGATGGTCCCCGGCTGCCTGGTCTCGCGGATCATGTTCGTGCTCCGCACCGCGTTCGACAACTTCCCCGACGGCATGGTCGAGAAGCAGTCCATGTCGGAGCTGTTCGCGTACATCGGCCGCCGATTTGCGTTTCCGGTCTTTTCGAACCAATGTACCTCTTCGTCGGTGAAGGCGGAAAGGGAGTAAAATAATCCCACCGAGGAGGACGAAATTGTTCCCTTACGTTACGATTGTCTTTGCCTTGATTTTAACATCTCGATTGTCGCAGCGAGCGAGCAAAATGGAAATGGTTATGGCGTTTTTTTGTTTCTGCGGGCAGGAGGGTTACAGGCGGCGTCCTAAGGCGAATTCATTTTTAATTTGTGTACCTCGAATGTACGATATGGTAAATAGTTGAATGCTTGTATACGGTGGTGCTCCATATGCGCAATTGATGCCTTGATTTCGCGGCTTATCCACGAAAATGAAACAGGCGATGAAAGCTGAGGAATCACAAGCATGGAAATTGTCTTTGGGAAATTTATTATCTACAGGTCGGATTGTCAATGTCAAATGGCCACTATGTGAGTCAATTTCCTCTTTCGCGAGTATATGTACTAGTCATTGCTTCGATCTATATACATATTGTGAAGATGATAATGGGAGGGTGTCAGCAGCTGCCGCCAGCTCGAGTTCAAATCTGAGTCCTAGTGCAAAATCGCACTAAGAGCATCTTCCAGAAATGCAGGCGTGCTAAGGTGTCCGGTCAACAAGGACAGATGTGAGCACGTTCACATGATTCCATTCAGAGAAAAGGAGGTTGGAAAAGTGGTCGTGCCCAGAGCCTCCTCGAAAAGCTCAACCACTAGACTACCTAGCTCGGAGAATGGTAGGTGGCAGTGCAGGAAGAAGCGGGGCCGGGGGGCAAGAACCCTCTCGCTAGACGCGGCGTGACAGCTCAAAGAATTGCGTCAGCAGCTCAATAGATGGATGTGCATATTACTGCGCGGTAAAGTTGGTGAGTGTGGCTAGACGCTGAACCGACCGCCTTGCTCTAGATTCCAATGCTGAGAAAGCCAGGGTGAGAATGTTTAATCTAGGCGGGTCGGCAAGGTGTTGTTTGGATTGTCTGGGTAACGCGGGGGCGGGCGGGAAATTTTGGCCCATGACGGTGACGGTGGTGGAATTGGTTGATAATTATCCGTTGGATGGAGGCATCATGGGTCCATCCGGTCACATGCAACTGTGCTCATTGCCAAATGTGGAGACCAATCCGGGAGGGGCGAGAGGGGAGGAGGGAGGTCGGTACGTTTGTCCACAGCAAAGCAATTTAGCAAGCACGCGCACACAGCGTGCAAAGCAATCAACTGTTCGGTTGGCCTCTGGACCCGAGTCGCTCTCGGTCGACTAACTCGCTCGATTCGGGGAGACCGTTGAGGCTTTGGGGGGGGGGGGGACAAACCCTGGAACGAATGGCGACGGTGCGTGGTTGAGTCCCCGCATCGGTCCAGGGTCGGTCGCCTAGATTGCTCTTGCAGGCACTAGGCGTGATCGAGGCTAGTAAGCTAGCGTAGTGTGTGTGCGTGCGTGCGTGCTTGTGGTGTGTGTCCCTTCGGTGCTCCGAAGGCCACCTCCCCATCATCATCACCCGATCTGCAATCTTTTTTTCTTCGGGTCGGGAGTCCTTGGTTTGAATTATTTTTTCCCTAATCTCGGTTTTGCCTCTCGGTTTCTCAAGGGAAACCAGTATCCGTGGGGACCGAGATGAATGCATTCTGCGCATAGCACTCCATCATCGGGTCGATGTCCAGAGGGTCATCGTTCAGATGGTTGAAATGGTCGACGGAGGGGTCTCGGATTGTGAAGCCCCCTTCAGGGTCCACGGGGAGCCAATTTGCGGTGAACCGGGTGCTCCCGTCAGGCATTTCCAGCGGGGTCAGTCCTTCCATCGCATTGGGGGATTTCAGTCCATTGTTATTATTCATTCCAGTGTACCCTTCCCTGGCCTTGCCTTTGACCCCGCGGCTGCGAGTCTGCTCCGAACCTGCTTGCAACGTAATCGTAGGTGGGTGTGGGTCATTGAACGGAGGCTCAGACATCATCATCATCCCATCGAGGGGGTAAGAAGGGAGCGGCAGGCTGTCCGACAGTCCCATGTCTGGAAGCCGATAGTACTGTGCGGGCTCTCTCAAATTGCACTCCCGTTCCCAGTCTCCCTCACTCCCACTGTACGATTGATGGCTCATTCCCGGCGAGCTGCAGGGCTCTTGCGCAACGGCCGATTGGCCGAATGGGGGCCCAGCGCTGAAGCTATCGTGCGATGACGACTGTGGTGACGAGATAGCTCCCGGAATGTTCATGTAGAGGGCTCGCTCAGTGGCTAATTGGGAGGTCGAACGGAGAAGGTCATCGAGGGAGAGGTGGGCGGGGAAAGACTTCGAATCGGGGGTAGTGTTGAAAGTGGATTCTTCAAATCTAGTAGTGTGAGGGGTTCTAGTCAGCCCATCTGCAGAGAGATTCCCGGCTTCCTGCAAGCCCGACCCCCTAGGAGGGACTTCTGGTGAAGGAGAATCTAAATTGCTGTGGCAGACTTACATCGACGTGAGTTTATCCACGAATCCTGAGGAAGCTGGCGTGTCTGGCATCCCTGATACATGGGGTACCCGAAATTGGCCCGAAGCAGCTTGTGCCATTGCCGACTCATAGTCGGCGCAAAGCTCGGGGCTCAACAGATGGGCAGACGAAAGGTCGAATTCATTGACACCCAGCTGATTCCCGTACAAGTCTTCTCCGCCAAGCTCCGGGTCCAGAGCGAAAGCCTGGTTGTCTAACGAGTCCAATGGAAACCACATTGGCACGTCTGTCGAGAAATCGGAGTCGAGCATTGCGTCGGTATCTTTCGCGAGAATAGGTGGTAGGAGGGAGACTCGTTGTTTTGTAGATTGCAGTCAGAATCTCGCGCTCATTGCAAGGTGAGCATTGACGCGTTCAGAAGTTTGCTATTGTTGTGGGTAAAGATGAACCCTTCGGTCACGAATGTTTCGAGAGCCACTGCAAAACCTCTCCGGGGGGAAAGCACGGGGCGGGAAAGCAAGCTTATAACCTGCGCAAAGCAGGATAAAATCCGGCCAACAGCTTGAATAAAACATGATTGAAAGAGGTGGTGGAGATGCAGCTTGAACAAGTACAGCATGGCGGCCACGATGGGGATGCGATCGGTAAATTGAAAAGGGCGCAAGGGTAATAGTGATTCGATAGAAACGAGATCTGATCACAAGGAAGCATGGTTTTTGGGTTTCCCGGGGTAGCCTTTTTAACCGAACAATTCCAACTCCCCCAGGTTTTCAATCAACCCAACCGAGCAGGAGTATCGGAGTTGATTGCGTCTGGCACCATCTGGCACCGTGCACTTGCATGATCTCGGTCCTTTCAATGGTAATTAACCGAGAGCTTGAAGAGCTCGGACCGAATGGGAGAAAAGGCGAAGGCGGGCCGTTATTTTGGGGTCGGAGAAGTCTGGGGTTTGCGGGGAAAAGTCAACTGGTCAACTGATCCTGTCCAAATTTGCCGGCTTTCACATCCCCAGATGGGATCGGTTAATCGTCACCTGGAAGCCAAGTTTACCTTTGCGCTTCGCCTGTCTGACTGTCCTCGATGAAAAGAAAGAGATTCTTATGGTTGTTCTACCATCCTACTGAAGACTATGCATAGCGTCGGAACTTGTTCTCACTTATGTACATTCCAAGGTTCATGTAATATATACAGTGCACGATTGCAGTCGAAGGCGGGATCAGCTGGTACCTGTCTCCTATACACCGCATCGGGGCCAGACAGTTCCCCACTCCTACTAGTGTTGCAGGTCGGTCGGCTGTTAGGTCGAAGAGCTACGACCATGCAGCATGTGCCTGCATATCACTCCGGGGAAAGGAGAAGGGGGTAACGGGCTAGATCTGATCCCTGCAAATAGTCTAAGATCCTTGCCACTTCCCTGCCCACCCTTTGTAGTCGAGACAAGAGTAGAGCCGAGGAGGCCGTGTCGCCTAACCTCACAGGGCCAACCCCGTGCCCTTTCGTGTCCATCGGTACAGCGCTAACACAGCTTTGCGTCGGTGTCGAATCTCGCTGTAATTAACGGGGCGCCCGCGCGCCTGAGCCACTGCACTCCGCATGACCTGCCGGAAATTTCGCTGGTATTCCGTATTCAGAGTGACAACACATGATTCCGTTGCACGGATCATCACCTCGCACGCATTTAGAATCCCATCCCCCGCCTCTTTTTGCAGTCGCTCCACAATCAGCAACAAAAGGAAACTGCCTTGTAAAAGTTGGATTCCAAAGAAATATGGGATAAAACTGATATCAGGGTCATATCGTAGGATATGATCCACCGAGTCCGCAGCCTCTAACACATGGGAGATGGTCGAAGCAAATGCAGGGGAAGACGTCCAGAAGTCCTTGTCTTCGATAAGTGACACCGGATCCCATTTCCCTACAAGCAAGATGTGGAGCACATGAACCAGGTACGATGCGTAAGAGATCACCGTCTGTGTATGCCACGCATACGCTTGCGCAAGTGAAGCTTCGGTCGGCTGCTGATCGGGCTTGGGAGGGAAAGCACCAGGCATAGGGCCGTCAGGATCAGAGGCGATGGCCGCAAAGGTCGTGAGACTAGCTTTGTAGATATCAAGCTGTCGCAGTACCTCACTGACGTGGCTATCCCATGCATCTTTGCCATTAAATCGCGTACCAAGCATCGGGTGATTCCGTGCTTGATTCAGGTCTATCAATTCGCCAGTGATAGTCATCAGGGGCAGGAAAAAACCAAAAATCGAATGATCGTGGCAGACAAAGTTCGGGAAGACGCGGCGTTTGTTCTTCTCACCAGACAGAAGACATTGTGGTCCGTCAGTCTTGGGGCTGTTGCTATGGATATTACCCGCTTGCCACGATCCCTCATCCAGTGGCAAAAGTAAGTCTTCACTCTCCGCGTCGAGCAATGCTAATGGGCGGTTGTAGCAAAGCGCAAGGTGACGATCCATGATGTATAGTAGCCACCATGTCCGTCGCCGCTCCTCGCGATGCTCTTCGGTAATTGTGGTACGTACATCGTGGCTCCGATCGCATACGCAATTCAGGCTTGGCCGAGCAGGGTTCGAGTAATCAAAAAAGGGGCCGGTGTCGACGCCACTCCAGCCGGCCAACGAATAATCGAACGACGGACTAGAGCCATCCGTGTGGTGACTATCCTCATTAGGCACTACCTCGATCTCTTGATTCAGCTTGAGCTCTCGGGCTAGAGTAAATGCGGCATGCCACCTGGAACAGATTAGCACCGCATACACAGATAGCAATTATGGGTAGACCAACCATCTCATGCTTGCGGCTTTCTGTTCGCTCGATGAAATTATTGAAGCCACGTGGATGTAAGTGATTACATCGTCCAACGAACCCGCTGGACCAACAAGGCCCCTATCATCTCCTCCAGCTTCAAACGGATGATGAACGGTTGTCGGCGGACCTTCTGGTCCGAGACCGGCATAGGCGGCCTCACTCGCGGTTGCGCCCTCTGAATCCTTGAATGAAACGTGGATTAATGGGCGGAGTAGTCTGATTGTCAGGGCGCACAGAAACTGGCAGATCTTCTTGCGCTGTGGCGGGGAGATGGGCAAGGCAAAAGCACGGTCATCCAACGCGGCAACCCAGAGCATGCTGGCGAGAAGAGCAGGACTGCTAGGACGAGGTGTCTCCCGAGTGAAGAAGGATGCCTTTCGTAGAACATAGCAATGTATGTGATGACAGACTGGGTGCATATGAGTTGAAAAGGCGCTTGTGAAATATAACTCAAGAAGATCGAACACGAGTTTGCGAGGCAGATTTCCTTCGAGGAACGGCATGAGTGGCATAAGCACCGGGTATTTCAATGCTGCAATGGCCGACCCGGATGTCTGCCCGATGCCGGTCGCTTTGGATGTTGTTGAGGTAGGATCGCTATAACCAGCTAGCTCAACTCCCTGCCAAATATCAAACATCCGGGGAAAAGGTCCCTCGCCCAGGCCGAGTCCTCCCAGAGGTTCATAGGACCCGGGCGACACATGTGTCGCCGATAACCATTCCTCCGTTGGATTCTCACCAGGCCGAGGTCTGCGAGGAGGGAGCGTAGCATCTGCTTGGGAGCGTCGCTCGTCGATGCTCGGAGCCGAAGCGGCGATGTCATTTGTGGATGGGGATTTGTGTTGCAAAAGTGAGACAGGAGAGCCTCTTCGGCCTGAAGCGCCAGCTGTCTCCGCCAACACCGGAAGCGCAGGTTGTTCGTCGTCGACCGGGCGGGTCGCTCTCTCCGGCACCGCGTTGGTCTCCGTTAATCGGGATCGGGCGATACGGCCTCTTTTCCTACGTTCGCGAGTAAATTCGCAGCGAATCTCGCTGCGCAGACAGCGTGAACATGGAAAAGCCCGGTCGCAGCGCACGCGACGCGAATGGCACGAGTCGCATGCGATCCGGTTGCGCCGCCAACGACGTTTGGTGATAATTCCGTTGGTCGACTCTTCGGCGGCGGTTGCTGGAGCGTTGGATGCCTGGGCGTCCCCCGACTGATCCATTTCAATCCGACATTGGTGAGTTGGGGAGGGTTCGGAGGGTAGTCAAGATGAAGATCGAAATCAGATGAATTGAAATGAGTTGGCCAGGTCGCTAGGAACCACGGGCAAGAAGAGGTTAGCAGTTTGGCCAAGACGAAGGAAGCGAAAGCGAGGGCACTAGTCTCACTCGCCCAGGCCAGCCGGTTCGGAGCGGGGAAGCACAGTCACATTGATTTGATCACGGGTTGTGGGATACGATGGTGAGATTTCTGATGGCAGCAAGAAGCGGTAGCTGGCTAGCAGAGAAGAAGAAAGAAAGAAATAAAGAAAGAAGTTTTCACAGAGCAGCTTTCTTGACAAGGGTGCGTAACAGTCCCAGTGCTAGAAACAGTCGAACAAAGTAGAAGGCGGCGGGGAAACCGACCGATGGTGGAACCGAAACTGGAGTTGCTGGAGTTGCTGGAGTTGCTGGGGATGCCCGCCTCCTCAGCTCCTCCTCCGCATTTCTGCCCTCTGCACGCACGCACCACTCATTCACGCTGGCAACCACAACCGGGATTACTGACCATCTCACAGTACGTGTAGTTAAGGTTCTTGCATTTACCTATACTCAGTACCAGCATCCCACCACTAGCTGACAGCTATTCTATCCTTCCCGATGGTGGTCGATTGCTTGGCGGGACTAGTAACTCTGTCTATGAAATCTGTAAGTCCACTGCGCAAAATATACCTCGGTTACTGACAGAGGATATTTCAAACGATTGGCTAAAAAATCTATTTGCAATAGTTTCTTTTTACTAGTTACCCAATTTGACCCACTGACCCTGGCTTCTTCACGTCTGCAGCAGATCAATGTCCCTGAGCTGCTTTATAACGCGCCAACGCTCGATCTCGACTCTTCGCGTGATCAACAATCGCCTGCGGATATCCATTCTTTTTGGCCACCTCGCCGGCTCCCCGCCCATACGGATCATGAATCGCGTTGCCCTCCACCTCCCGAAGCTCCGGCACCCACTTCCGAATGTATTCTCCGTCGGGGTCAAATCGCTCACTCTGTCGAACCGGGTTGAAAATCCGGAAATATGGCTGTGGGTCGACGCCAGTACTCGACCCGAAACCCCAGCCGCCGTGATTGGACGCAAAGTCGCCATCAATTAAATGTTCCATGAAATAGCGCTCCCCACGCCGCCAGTCAATCAGCAGGTCCTTGGATAAAAATGATGACACCACCATTCGACTACGATTGTGCATCCATGCAGCGTGGTTCAGCTGTCGCATAGCAGCGTCGACAATTGGGAAGCCAGTTTTGCCCTGGCTCCAGGCGTCAAACTGTTCTTCGTCATACTCCCATTCAAGGTTCGTGAATTCCGGCTTGAAACATTTGTTCATACTGGTTCATGTCAGCCAGAGCACTCGTAATAACAGTTTTCGAAAAGAGACGAACCAGATGTACGGCCAATGGACCAATACGTGCTTGTAGAAGTCACGCCAAGCAACCTCACTTATCCATGACATGTAGCCCGGTTGGTTACGGTCGAGGAGGCCCTTATTCGCTTTACGCGCTTGATCTACAGCTGTTCGTGCGCTGAGACAGCCTGACGCAAAGTAGGGACTGAGAACGGACGTGGTTTCTCCACTCAAATAATTGCGCTGATCATCATAGTCTCTCGCCTTCTCTTCGAGGAAAGCCTCGAGCCGTCGCAGAGCCTCATGCTCGCCTTCCGGATATAATTGACGGAACCGCTCTCTCTCTTCGTCGGATAGAGTCTTGTTCTCAGGTGCTGCGGGCACCTGGCTGTCAAACAATTCCTTGAAATGTTTCCGAGCATCTCCGGGGTTAGATCCCGGTTCTTCCGCCACCTCGAGGTATTCGGGGTTCTCTTTGAGAAACGCGCACCAGGCGCGAAACCATGGACTATAGACGGCATACTGCTTGCCTTGCTGACTATGGAGCTTTCCAGGGGTGACAACGCAAGCATCGTGAGCTGCCTCAAACCGCACACCGTTCTCGGCGCACATGCGGACCAATTTTGCCTCACGGCGCAACTCGTCGACTTCGTACTCCATATTCGCGTACAGGTGGCTCGCACCCCATTCCTTGCACAGGTCCACAATGCGCTGGGGAATCGCCTTGCGCTTCTCTTGTGTCTCCATGTAAAGGGGAATATCCAGCTCGTTCAGGTCTCTCTTCAACACTCCAAGTGTACGTAACGTCAGATCAACCCGTGCTGGACTGGATAGATGCGCTGTCAGGTCCTGGGGAGACAAAATATACAGACATATCAGTGGGACCTTGTGCTCGCGGGCCACCTGGTACGCCATCTGCAAAGCGCGATTATCATGCAGTCGTAGGTCGGACTTGAACCAGTGTACGACCGCCGAACCAGCTTGAACTGATCCGCGTGCCTCCAATGTATCTTCGTAAGACCTTTGTAGCTCCTCGATTGGTCGTTCTAATGTTCCATCGTTGTAAGCGTGCACTCGCTCATTGCACATCTCAGGTGGATAGTATTCTCGAAGGACGATGCCGAAATCCTCGGTGTCTTTCGCATGGGGATGCGGACGCGACAGGTCGAGCTTTCCACGCTTGGTCGCGGATGCGGTGCCGTTGGTGGACTCCGACCGAGCATTTGAGCTGCTTGATGCCTTGCGCTTCGGGCGTGGCATGGTAGGATAAGAAGCCAGACAAGCGTTGGCCAGGTGACAGATGCGTGTTCTGCGAAAAAGAAGCGAATTGGATAATGGTGGTGAGAAGACTAACGCGCTTTTCCACAGCATGGCCTCAGAGCACGCGAAGCAGTTTCGTCAAAACTAAACCCGGGTGGAGGTAGGGGGGCTGAAGGAATTGAGATCGAAACCGATCGGATCGAGAGTGATCTGGAATGCGCCTTGTTCCATGACGTCAATAATCCTAGAATCCCTCCCTGCCCTCCAGATGCAACAAAGAACTGAGACATATTCGACCGAAAAAAGACTTGGCCGCTGGTAAGACTCTAGAAGAACTCTCCTACTATGTGCCAGTGAGCGAGGCTTTGCAGCATCTTTTATTCACAAGCATTGTTGGAAGCCAGCATCGTGAGTGGTGGCTATTTCCATCTTTTTCTAAAAGTGACGCTCTCCAACTTGGCACTGCCGGCAGTATTATACCGCCCTTTCCAGAATCCCTCACCGCCCTCTGATGTTCTGCCGAAGAAATGGAAGGAGGGGGGAACATTCATGATCTGGAACTGCTCGCGCCTTGGAGTTGAACAGTGGTCGTGGGCCAATTGCTCCATGCTGGAGTCAAGACAGAACCATGTAAGAGAACCAAGCTCAGTTTGCCATACGATTTCCAGTTGCCTAAATATGCTTTGATCAGGCCGACCTTACCTCCTCATTTGACTTTCCCCACAGAATGCGGGGAAATGCAACCTGCTGAACTCTCCGGGGTTTCTTCGGCAACGTCCATCATGTCATTCCTTGTTACCGCGCCATGAAAATACCAACCGTAGAAATGGAACTTGCAGAAGAGACCATGGCTACACCAAATAGTTCTCTGTCCTACATGACGGAGATCTATTATCAAGCTCGCGGCACACCTCTTGTTATACTCGACTCGACAAGGTTCGGCAAGCTCAGGGGAGAGATGCCGCCTCTGCCGCATACCCCACACAGGTTTCCATATCCTGATGACATGATCTCCACTTTCTGCAGGATTTGAAAGCCGAGGGGCCTCGAGGGGCCTAGAGGTGCGCAGTACTCGGTCAGAGATTCAACCGAGTCTGTTTGCATTCGGTATTTGCTCACCCGACTATGTATTGCCAGATCTGCTCTGATGTCAGGTCAAGGTCGCTCGTGAGAGACGTATATAGGCACCAGCGTTCCTCAAGACAGAGGAGTCTTCGGAAACCCATGGAGACGGAGCCATTACGAAGTCAACATGTTGTGGTCATCCTGGATCTTGACTCCGGCCTTGCTGGCCATTGGCTCGCACGCCGTTCCTTTTGAAGACTATATTCTTGCCCCACACTCAAGGACCTTGAATCCTTCATTGGTGTATCAAATCAACGGAACTGTGGACAATCCTGAAGCTCTCGTCGGTCTTACAACCCACCAGACAACTCTTCATGGCAAGTCGTCCGTGACTTATGATTTTGGTCGCAATATTGCTGGTATAGTATCTCTGGATGTGACTTCGGTTTCTTCCAGAGCAGCTCAACTTGGAGTTACTTTCACAGAGTCGAGCCTGTGGATAAGCAGCGAGGCGTGCGATGCTACCAGCGATGCTGGTCTTGATTCGCCTCTTTGGTTCTCAGTGGGCTATGGACCAGGAACCTACGGGGCGGACAAGAAGCACCTCCGGGGTGCGTTCAGATACCTCACACTTGTCAATAATTCTACCGCCACTATATCCCTGGATGGTCTCAGCATCAACTACACCGCGGCTCCTACCCAAGATCTTCGCGGTTACAAGGGCTACTTCCACAGCAGCGATGAGCTTATCAATCGGATTTGGTATGCAGGTGCTTATACCTTGCAGCTCTGCACAATTGATCCCACTACCGGAGACTCCTTGATCTGGTTGGGCGTGATATCTTCATCCGATAACATTACTCTGCCTCAAACCGATTCCTGGTGGAACAATTACACTATCACTAACGGCAGTACTACTCTCGTTGATGGAGCGAAGCGTGATCGCTTGGTCTGGCCGGGCGATATGTCAATTGCTATAGAAAGCGCGGCAGTCAGCACTGCGGATCTCGAAAGTGTTCGCACAGCTTTGGAGTCTTTGTTTGTGCTTCAGAAGGCAAATGGTCAACTTCCTTATGCAGGCAGGCCATTCCTGGATATTGTGAGCTTCACATACCACCTCCACAGTCTGATCGGCGCGTCGTCCTATTATCAATACACTGGAGACCGAAGCTGGATCACTCGTTACTGGGGGCAATATAAGAAAGGTCTGCAATGGGCATTGTCGAGCCTGGACAATTCAGGTCTTGCCAATATCACAGCCAGTGCCGACTGGCTACGATTCGGTATGGGTGGACATGTAAGTCTACCTTAGCAC